TTAATAGTTAAAAAATATAATAATTACATTATTAACATATACTTTAAAAATACGAATTAAAAAAACTTTTTAATAAATTTTGTGTATGTAAAATATCTAACTTAATTTTAAGCTTTGATAAATTCTTGTAGTTAAAAAGTATAATAATTACATTATTAACATGTACTTAAAAAATACAAATTAAAAAAACTTTTTAATAAATTTTGTGTACATAAAATATCTAATTTAATTTTAAGCTTTGATAAATTCTTGTATTTAAAGGCTTTTTTTTTGTATTTTACTTATATAATAAAAGATAATCCTTCGCAGTGTTTTACCTACACTAGTCATGCTATGTTATTAGAATTTATGATCTTTTATTTTCACTAATAATATGTTTGAATTTAAAGAAATAGAGAAACAAAAAAAGAGAAAGAGAAATTATATCCTCCTATTTCATTCCCTTTCTTTTATTTGAATAAATAAATATATTAAGAGAAAAAAAAATATTTTCTTTTTCTCCCCTCTCTAATTTTCTTATAACCAAATAAAAGGAAATTTTTTCCTCCTCTCCATTTTCTTCCTCCTAAATATAATGTTTAAAAAAAAACCATTAAATTACTTAACTTGTGACTTTTTCTTGAGCTCTTAAATAATGTCCACCAGCTAGAGGTTGCCCCTGCCCGCCCATATCAACCAAGAAAACGCCGTCTCATCCGAAAGTTGGTCCGTGTCACCCACGCGCCACCAATCTCCGCGTGGCCCCAGATAAGACAGACAACCCAGGAAAACGGCATCGCATCTAGGATTTAGGAAAAAGAAAGAGAGACAAAGGAAAATCCAAAAGAATACGTTGTTTTTTATCTCTAAAAAAGAAAAAAAAGAATACGTTGTTGTCAGGTGTGTGTTTCCCTCCGGTTAAGAGCCGTTTTCTTTATCTTCTCTCTCACTGAACGCATTGATGCCTTTGCCTTTTCCCCTCCGTTTTTGTACATTCCTTTTTCACTCTACTTTTTATACAGAGAAAGCCGACGCTATCTCTACCCCTAGCCTTCATCATTACCCTCATTAGGTACGGCGGCGGCGGCAGCGAACTGAAAAAAGATTACGGAGAGGAGGAGTGTCGTGGATTCGATGGGATCGTGCTCGGGACAAAGCGGTGGGAGCTACGATCTCTCCTTCAAGATCTTGTTGGTCGGCGATCCGGTGTCGGCAAAAGTAGTCTCCTGGTTAGCTTCATTTCCAGTTCCGTTGAATATGTAGCCCCTACCATTGGTAGTCTCACATTTCCTTTCCTTTTTCTTTTGAGATTCTGTTTGGTTGCTGGGAGATTGAAATAGAATAAATAGGAAACGCGTGCGGTTTTTGGAGTTTAATTCGCTTTAGCTTCCTGGATCTTACGGGAACTCTGCTAGTAATTGCCAACTTGAGGACTGCAATTTGTGTGTTCATTTTCAGTAGTTTTTGTTGATTTGTGTCACTAATGCTTGAATCTGATTGCACTTTTTGCGGATTTCAGAGTTTCTTGATGCATATATGCAATTTAGATTAATCTTTAATTTGTGTTTTGTTTGGTTTAGGAGTGGATTTTAAGATCAAGCTGCTAACAGCAGGTGGAAAGAAATTGAAGCTCACAATTTGGGAAATAGGTGCGTAGAGATGGAGTTGGTGCTTGGTGGGGACTCTAGGAGGACTTGCAACCCTTGTGTGGATGAGGTGGAGTGGTGGGGCATGGAGCTGCTGCTCCATTGGCTGCTGCGGCAGTTTGAGAATTGTTTGCCTCCACCGGTTTGACTTTGAAATACACCTTCAGCTGCCAGTTGA